TTTTTTTTTATAATCCACTGTTGCCAGAGGGAATTGAATCAATCCTAATGACCAAGCATTTTATAGAATACACTGCATACATAATGCAGAGTAGTTTAAATTCTTTGCTAGGCTCATTTGAATGCTGTATGTTGTCTGTCTTTAGTGTAAGAAGGCTCATTAGAGTTTGCCTGCACTGGCTGGAATTAATGAAAGAAAAGGAAATTGAGCACCTGTAACCTCAGAGTTCCCATCTTAACCTCGACACGTTCTAATAGAAATAATTCTCAGCTTTTTGTAGCATTTGCCAGAAAAGCAGGCATTGTCTTGTCTCCTTTCCTCCATTTCTCTCTTGCACACCATTGCCTCTGTCTTAATTATCACAGTTGTGACTTAGCTTCCACTTGAGCATGCTGATTGGTGTCTCTTATATGCCAGCTCATGAGAGGACATAAAGAGGGGGCAGTCCCTGCCCTATGCACCTCACTTTCTGCCTGTCTGCCACTGAAGCTATTTCTATGTAAGATAAACACTGCCAGAGAAGGACAAGCAGTGCTGTGGAGGTGCAGGGTAGGGGGAAAGGGTTCTTCATGGACAGAGCCGTGTGGAGAGAGAACAGAGCATGTCCATGCAGAGGCAAGAGCTGAGTAGGGTGTTTCAACTGCTCAGCCTGCTAGGGTCGGACTTCTAAGGGAGCTGGTTATGGAAGAGTCTGGATCCAGGATGTGGAGCTTGGACTTACTGAATTATGTGGTTGGGAGGTGCTAAAAGTCAGTCAGCAGGAGAGAGGCATGTGGTTTTCAGATGATGACTCCAACTGCCATGTGGAAAATGAGTTGGAGACCAGGAAAACAGCATAGGAGCTCATAAAACTTCTAAGAAGCAATTGTGACCTGATAGGGGGCATAATGAACTTCTAAAATTGGGGGTTAGCAGTGGAAAAGGAAATTGGTGGTAGATTTGAGAGATTTTTTTTTTAGCACTGACAGTTCTTGGAGGCTGAATGGATGTGGGGGGGCAGGGGAAGAGAATGCAGCAACAAAGATGACTGAACAAAAGAGCCTTTGCCGGTTCCCTGAGGTCTCACTTCTCTGTTTTGACCCTCCAATGATGTCTCTAATGCAAGTGGAAGAAAGCAAACTGGGAAAGTGACTACTTTCTGAAGCGAGTTTAGGCCCAGGCTCCCTTCCTTGAACTTCTACGGGGTTTATATTCTATGTGGCGTCTGCCAGGATCGTAGACGACACGCAGACTAGTCAGACTCACCCGGTGGTGCGCCCCCTGCCGGTCAGTCAACTCACTGCGCCTCTCAGCCTTGGTTTCATCACCTGTGAAATGGGAATAAAACTCTCCCTCATTGGATTCTCGCGAGAACTAACGAGATTATGGATATGAAGGTGATTGGTACAGTGCTTGGCACTCAAGAAATGTTCATGGTCTTTCTTCAAATGATTTGGTGGCTTCTGGTGTGTGTAAAGCAAAAGGGGTGCCCGTACTTTTATCTTACCTCTCCTTTCTTTCTGGGCACTCTCTGTGTCTCTTGGTTCCTCATCTGTGAAATGGGGTCAGTCGTAGTACCTTTCTCGCTGTTCTGAGGGTTAAGTTAGTTAATTTATATAATGTGTTTAGAATAGAGGTTGGCACACTGAGAAAGGAATATTTTGCTTTTTATTTTACTGTAGGGTCAGTCGTAGTACCTTTCTCGCTGTTCTGAGGGTTAAGTTAGTTAATTTATATAATGTGCTTAGAATAGAGGTTGGCACACTGAGAAAGGAATATTTTGCTTTTTATTTTACTGTATTTCAGCCTTTGGCACTGAATGTTGGGCACTGGTGAGCAGATGCTGCTGTGGAAAAGTTGAAAATGAAAATCTTGAAACTTTTCACTGCTCGCTAATGAAAAACACATTGATCACCATGCCAGGCAGGATCCTGGCAGGAAGGTGGAAACAGAGGGTACACTCAATCTGAGTAATTTGAGGAAAGCTCGTTAAAAGGACCACAAACGTGTAAGTGGTAAAGGAAATCAGCACAGGATTGTGCTGTGACTGAGGACCAGTAACAGTGAGGATCATGAGCTGTTATCCCCCATAGGTCTGAAGGGGCGAGGTAGGAGGAGTTACCAGAACCCAGAAACAGCTGCTGTTTGGGGAGGGCTACTTGACAAAATTCGCCAACCCACAGCAACCTGGCTGGAGTGAGCTGGGGGAATAAACCCCTGATTTCACTCTCCTTCCACCCTCCACTGGTCAAATCCAACAGGAAGCTGGAAAGCAGGGGAGCCCATTGATAAGTCCACACTGGTCAACCTCTGGAAGACAGAGCA